CACTAGGCATTCTGACCTATAAACTCCCTCCAGGCAGTAACCGAGAAAGCTGAATCTGATTAGCTCATCTCACTGTCCACCACTAACCCTGTGGGGTAACTGTTGATGGATATCTCTAATGGATTTTTCCCTGGTGGTGCTATTGACCTTGTGTGAGGCCCATGTGGGATTTTGCTGGGCAGGGCTGTTGACCTGGGCATATTATGGCTGAGCAAAGCTATTGGCTGAATGCACCCAGAAAGTATGGTTGAACTTATACATGCTTCTTATGGACCTTCTTTTACTAGTACATTGCAATGAGCCCTGTCTCCCTTGTTAGTACCTGGTAGCCCTAATAAATCTGATCTCTTACAAAAGCCATTGTTTGGACTCTTGGAAACCTAGTGTGCTGCCCTGGCACACCTGGGCTTTGGACAATACCTAACTTTGAGAGATGGTTCTCATAGGAGCTCTTTGGATTTTTGGAAGCATTCTCTCAAAGGGAACTGTGGGGCCCTGGCATCTTTCTTTCTTTTTCACTTTCTGGCCACAAAGTAAGTGGTTTTGTTCTACCATGTGCTCCTATCAGTATGTCTTATTTCACCACAGACCCAGAGCAGCAGAGTTGATTGATCATGGACTGCCACCTCCAAAACTGTGAGCTCCAATAAATCTTTTCTGTTTGCAAGTTGATAAGCTCAGGTATTTCAATACAGAAGTGGAAAGTTGACACCCAACACTTTGCAGAGGGAAGGGGCCAGAGAACTATGTTCTTGGAGCCTCCAGTGAGGGGGAAACAGTGATGCTGCTTAGAAGACCATTCTTTAATGAATGATTATTGTGAGTTTTTCCATGCCTAGCAACTGCTTTGGAAAACTATCCTGGACCTATGATAAATTTGACCTTGACTCTCCTATTCTCAGTACCAGAGTGGGCAGAGGAATCAACGCAGCCAGCCCACATGGCAAGGATGGGGTGCCCACTGCCCAGGAAGTTTGCTTTGTCTGGTACTGCACCCTGGGAAGAGGTGCTTGGTGCAAGCAGGGAAGGCCTGGCCAAGATAAATCCTGGCAGAAATACACTCTCATACTTAGAGACACAAAGCTTGGTGATCATTTTATGGGACAAAATGGTGAGGATTGGCCAGATTGCGAGGAGGAACAAATGAAGGGGAAACTGGAAGTGTAGAATATGTTAAAAGCAGTTGCAACCTGGTTACTCTTGATTATTTTCAAGAAAATGAACTTGAAGGAAACTCACCATAACTTGCCAAGTAGCCTGCCTTAAAGGGTTGCTTGAAAATATTACAAATAATATTTTATTTACACGCAATACGCATAAGAAACCATGTGATAATGTTCCAGAGGGGTGATGGAGTGGGAACAGGTGAGGGAGGGTCAAGAGGGAAATTGTGTTTAGTTATGAAATTAAGAACATCTTGAATCCACTATCTCAAGCCTCAGGGCTTTTGACTCGGTCCATGAATATAAAAGTATTCACCAGAATTGTTTCAATATTGGTTATTTTGGAGAAGAAATTATTTTCTAGAGTCAATTCCATCACAATAATTTTATTTTATGATCAGTTTTCCATGAAGCAGTGTTGGGATGATTTCCTTTAGACTCCCTTTCCTTGAGCCTGGCTTTGCCGGCTCTGATCACAGGTTAGATATCTGGGGAAAAGCTTCTGTGATCATTCCGGCATCTGAATGGAAGCCTCTGATTGGTCAGCCGGTGTTCTGTATCCATTCCTGATCCAATCACCCTTTGCCAATAGTAAGAGGAGTGCTGATTACCTCCATCAATCATGGCAGCTTGGCCAGAACTGGTAGGCAGAGGGAAAACCACTAGCAGAGTCTAGAGTGGGACTGCCATCCTAGACAGATGAAAACATAGCCATCCGTTATTGCCCTGGTTGTTTTTCTCAAATTCCAAATTATTGCACCTCAATTAAAGAAAGTTCTTCAAAACTCAAGTGCGTCATAAAGTGCTTGAGCCAGTACAGTGGCCACTGAACCCTGCCCAGGAGGGGCGCCCTCTGCCCACAAAGCTGGATGGGAGCATTCAGAGCCGTGAGTGGCTGGGTGTCTCCAGGTACACCAAGGTTGTGTGGGAAGTGGTGGGGTGCCCAATCAGCCCTGGTGGCACAGGCTCATGCTTGGGCAAATGGCCCTTATCAGCTCAGTTCTCTGTGGGCTGTATCACAGGAATAATGGTGGCTTCCCTCCTCTTGGCTCTTGTGGAATCCCAGCACCATACCAGGGCCCTATGACTGCAAAGCCCTGGGACACCTAGCCAGGAGGATGTTTCTTCCTGGATCTGTGCCTCCGATTCATTGTGTAAAATGGCGATGTCTATGTATCTGTCTCGAGTTTGTGAGAATTATGGGGCTCTTGGAGCAAGTACGGTACTGAGAATGGGAGTGACACAGGAGAGTGACTTCATCAGCTCTCAGGAGCCAGGATGGGGCTTCAGGTCTGCTCCATTGTGGGGTCTGGGGAATCCATGAAGGCCTGGGTCACTTGGGGACTCCGGATTCCTCTGAGAAAAAGCTCTGCCAACAGCAGGCGAGTCCTCTGCCTTTGGAGCTGGATGTGGCTGCACTGGGTGGGTCCTTCTGGCAGCCCCTGGGAGGGCAGGACCAGTGCAGGCGGCCCCGAGGCCAGGCAGCTGCTGGCCATCCCAGGAGGGCAGTGCTGTAATGCACTTGGCCTGGAGGCCGGGGCTGAAATGCTGATCTAATGCTGGACTTATCTGGACCCTAAACCCTATGGTGACCACAAAGCAGAAGAAGTTGGGGAGGAATTGAGTCCCTTTCCAACCCATGTTCCAGGCTTCCAGGTAGGGTGGGTAGAGGGAGCAAGTCTGGCAGGCAGGTGGGTGAGGCCTGAGGTGGTGGAAAGATGGGATCCCAGGGCTGGGTCTCTGTCCACACCTCGCCCGATGGCGTAGATGCAGGCACTCACAGACAGGACTGCTCTGAGGCCTTTCCGCAGGCTGGACCTTCTACTGAGGGGCAGATCCTCGGGGAATCATTGCTAGCATCCACACAGATATGAGTTCCACGGTGCTCACTACACTGCTTGCTGGGAGGGGAATCGCTCACTCCCGTCCTATGGACACAGCTGGGTGGATGCAGCCCGGCAACCCCTGAGGGCTTGGAGGATCTGAGCCCTCAGACTCCTGCAGCCCTTCCCCTAGTGCCCACAGGGAACCCAAGGAAGCCCTCCACCCCTCACTATCAGAGAGGGAGGCCCAGCTGGCAGGACACACAGGCTGTGCCTCTGTCACCCACCTTCAAGGTGGCTCTCATCATCGTCATTTTGTAGAAGCCAATGATCTGAGAAGCCCAAAGAGCTGGACCGTGTGCACCCAGGGTTCAACACAGCTCAGCTGTAGCCTAAGACCTACATCAGAATTCCAGCAACTGCACCCCATGAGACCAAGGCCCCTCGCATGGGACGGAGCCCTCTGAGCCTCAGCTTCCAGTTCCAGGGGAGGGGACAGGATCTGACCGGCACCACCGATGCAGGCTGCACCTAGGGTCTTTGACATCCTGGACAGCGACTGGGTTCAGTCCCACTCACCTGCTCAGGTTGCTCTGGTGTGGAGGAGCAGAGTCTCACTCAGGTCACCTTGGGGGAAGGGCTGGGCTTAGAGCTTGCTGAGTGGCATAAGCTGAGGGAGCCCAGGCAGCGGTCTCCATCTCCCTCCTCTTCATACCAGGCAACAAGAGTATAGCAAACATAGAGGAGTGAGGGAGGAAGACGGGAGAAGGGGTGGAGGAGAGGGGAGAAAAGAGGGAGGGGAGAGGGAGGGGGGTGGGGAACAAGCCCATCCAGTTTCCAATCTCTCTGCTCACTCCTCTCATCAGCAGACTTTGATCAAAACCCTTTCCTCTCCCAGCCTCAGTCTACCTCATCTATAAAATGGGATTACAAGGTCTTCCTTCAGGGAGCAGGCATTTCATCCCTCCCTGATATCCAGGTCAGGATAGGACCAGGTTCTCTGGGGACAGGTGTATGGATGGGTTTTGGCCTGAGTGGTTGCTCTTATCCTTCCAAATTTGCATCTTGTAAGCCCCCAGAAGGAGAGCAACAGCAGGAGCTGAGAGTGGCCACCTGCATCACTGTAGCTCCCTTCTCAGCCTGGCCCAAAGACTGGGACTTCAGCTGGGACACACTGTTTTTTTTTCCCCCCCTAAGAGTCAGGGAGCTTGGCCGTTCCTGCTCTGACCTTGCCCTCCTGGGCTGCAGGTTCAGTGGTGAAGCCACACCAGTTGCCTGGCCCTGTGCCATCTCAGAAAACATGCTTCATGAAGCCACGCTCCTCCAGGATTGTTCTGAGTGGGGGCGATGGCGGTGGGATCCAGGAGCCAGTGTTCTAGGTTGCTCTGCCCAGCCCCCAGGACAGGGCCACAGGCCAGCACAGGCCAAGGTCTCAAGACCACGTCACCGGGCCTCAGTGTGATCCCGTTTCCCTAATCCTCTTGCTTCTCTGATCACAGCTCTAAATTGGTCAGTGCTCACCATCTCTGTCTCCCCTTTCCTTCCTGTCTTCTTCTGTGTCTCGATCTCTCTGCTTCTGTCTCTCCAGCTTTCTCTCTCACGCTTCCCCACAGCCCTGTGTCTCAGGCCACCCCTTTCCCTCCTTCCTCACACTTTCAATCCCAGCCCCATCCCGGGGGTCAGCTATGAAGAATTAGGGGTCAGATAGTGACTGGGCGTGGCCCGGGATTATTTCTGTCTCCCCAGGAGAATGTGTGGCATTTCCTAATGACTTCACCTGATAGCTCTTGTTCTGAGGTTCCTGGGGCTTTTCTTGTACTTTCTCTTCTTTCAAAGGCTTGACTCTCACTTGGCTCAGACAGCCTGGATTTATTTCTATAGCAGCTCTTAGGCTTCCAGAGACAATCTGGACAGGCCACAGGTCCTCCAGGCTTCCAGAGAGCATCAGCTAGCCCGTGAGCCCTGGTAATGCCCTCTTCAGTCTGCAACCCCTCGCCCTGGCTGGGGTCCCCGGTCCTCCCACAGTGCCTTTGTTCCATGCAGCCTCAGGGCCCCAGTGGAGGGGTTCTGGGGGTCTATTCTGACCCTCAGATACCTGTGAGAGGGGAACAACAGGGAATAAAGAGAGACAGAGACAATATTTAAACTGTAAAGCAACTGGGAGGAGCCTGCCTCTAGTGGGCAGACTCGATAATCTCTAAGGTTGACACGCTTTTATTAGCCATCAAGAAGCCTAGAGGGCAGGGGTTTTGTGTAATTCATGGAACGATAACAGTTGAAAAGATATTTTGAAAAATAGGGAACAGGTTGAGCTTTACTCTTTTTTGAGAGTGTGTTGAGAGGGACTAGGTTCTTTCCTATACCTGGATGCCTGCCCACATTAATAAGGAACTAGCATTCTTTACATTGTCCTCAGCAGATGTTATATTGCCATGGGAGAACTGTGATTACCAACATTCTCCTTGCAGCCAGAAAGCACACAGTTTTCCATATTTTCTGTTTCCCAAGGCGGATCACACTGGCCTTGGGACTGTGGGGCGTAGTCACAGAATCTGGCCCCCAGTAATTCCTCACATAGCCTGGTCCCCATTGGAGGGGATCAGAGCCAAACCCATGTACCACTTACACCCCAGAACACCAGTAGGCACTGCAGTTCCTAGCCCAACCATCACACATGCTTTCCATTTAACCAGGACCTTGGTCTTACAGTCCCAGGGACCTGATCAGCTGTCATCACCTCCGGTAAATTGCCTGCTGAGCCTTTCTGCAGAATGGGCATAACAGTGGGACCTTACTTGCCAGATGGCTTCTACTGCTAAAAAAACAAAACCTCTTGGAGCATTTAGCACACACCAATTCCATAGTAATTCACTCCTGGACAGTCTTCCTCCTCCATAGTGACCATGGCAGGAAGTCCATTTAATGGATGACAGACTGAGGCTTGGAGATGTGAAATTACTTCTTAGGACATCAGAGTCACTGAAGAAGGTGGTGTAGTGGGATCCAAGCCCCAAGAAGGCTGTTTTCACGTATTCCACACACAGGAAGCCCATGATGCCTTTTGTCCCTGCCCTCCTTCCCAAGATGGTTTCCATTGAAGGGAATATTGCCCATCCTGGCTCCCAGCACACACAGACCGAGGACCCTGACTGTCGCTGCTGCTCTGAGCATGGTTCAAGTTGGGGAGTTCACATTTCACTCCTCTCTGGCTTGGACAAGGCCCCTGGAAAAAACAACCCCGTGCACCCCAGAAGCATGTGTTTGCAGCTTGTTGGTGCTGGCAGGCCTGAGCGCTCCTGGGAGGTGGTGGTTGGCCAGCAGGTCATGGTGCTTTCCATCCCCATCGTCCTGCAGGGTCTGGAGTACCCAGGGTCTGATACAGGGTAGACACAGGGCCCCAGGAATTGGCAGCAAGTCTTCTGCATGGCTTGAGGTGGATAAGTGCTGACAGGACCGCAGAGCAGCAAGATCAGAGTCTGTGCAGAAAGAAAAAATGAGATTCTCAAATGAGAGGCCCCTAATTGAGGGTTGGAGGCAAGTGGAAAGGCCCTGTGCCATGGGACAGCCTTAGGAAACATCCGTTCTTTACACTGGCCACAGGAAGGATGAGGAAAAGGAGGCCTGGCCAGAGATGCTAGATGAGCCAGAACTTGTAAAGTTAGAAGGATGGAAATACAAGTCAAATGATCGTAAGCAAAAAACAAACCCACTGGGTTGTGTAATTGAAAAGTTTGAGGAGCAGCTTCAGGTATGGCTGGATCCAGATGTTCTGCTATGGAGGAGCTGTCAGTCTTTTGCTCGGCTTTCTTTGGCTTGAATTCACTCTCAGGCAGATTCTTCCAAGGAGCAGCCCTTGAACAGCTCTAGGACTACCTCATGGGCTGTGAAAAAAATCCAGAGGCTGCTGCTTGTTGGACTGAACTAGGCTGTTTCTTCATCCTCACACCAACATGTGGGCCAGAGGGTGGACTGCACGGACTGCTGCAGCCTAGTTCACATCCACGTACAAAGCTACAGGATGGAATAGAGTGGTGGGGTTGGCACCTAAAGAAAAAGTGGGAGCTGCTATCAGGAGAGCAGAATAAACAAGGTCTGGGTCCACTCTGACCAGGCCACTTCCACACCCTGTGCTTCCATTGCCTCCTTATCAGTAAGAAAAGAGGGACTCAGAGGCCCGACCTGCTCTGAGCCCCCATGGACTGGTGGTCTTGACCTCTGCTGAGCGCCTAACCTGGGTCCGCTGGGCTTCATGGGGCACTGACTGAGGACAGAGAGGGGCTGCCGAGTCGCCACTCAAGCCCAGTAAACCCGAGGCCCTGCCATCTGTTCCCCAGCCTCAGCTCTCGATCGTGCTGGCAGCTGTTCCTCCAACCCCAGGGCCTTCTGCTACACTGCCCCTCCTACCTGGCGGCCCTTCCACCTGTGGCACCTCCTGCTACTGCCCTGCTCATCCTTTAGACTTCCACCCAAGAGCCCTTCCTCGGGAGCCTCCGTGATGCTCCAGGAGGATGTGGGCCTGGCTGTCCTCTTTTCCTGGCACAGAACCCAACCTCATGACCACATAGGAAGGAGATGACTCATCTAAGTCCAGTGCACTTGCTGGGGGAGCAAGGATGGTCCTCTGCACCTTGGTCCTCTTGCAAAGCCCCCCCCAGGAAGACTGCTGACAAACAGAAGGCTCCGGGTCCTGCTGTGTGCTCCCCTTTCTCCCTCATCCCTCTGCCCTGCAGCTCTTCCTCCCTCTGAGCCAGACTGGAGGTGGGACCTGACTGGTCAGGGAAGAGAGAACCCAGAAGAGCCCAGTGAGGTTCCAAGGAGAAGCTTCAGCCCATATATTTGAACTTGGCTCTCAGAAACACATGCAGAAACAATAGCTTTGAGTTGTCAGTGACATTCAGCACTACCCAAGGCACGTGGAGAATACGGTTTGCCCCAGAAAAGGTAGGGTGACATGGTGAGGAGCTTCCTTCCGACTAAGAGGCCTGGGGATCACCCTTGAGACTCTGGGAACCCTCGCCCCACCTTCTAGGGGTTAGGAAGGCTAACCCCTCAGCCAGCCATTAAGGAATGCCAAAGCAAGTACACCTTGCTTTGACAGTTAACTGATTGACAGTTGACAGTTAACTGATTGTGTCAACTTCAGTAGGAAACGCCCAACTAAACTGGATCAGCATAGTTCCCGAGTGGCTGAAGGTTTGACTAAAAACTGAAGACCCGCCCTGGCTGTGAGTCGCACCGACCAATAGCCAGAGCAGCCGAAAGGGCTCCCAGGAGGGTGTGGAAATGGCTCAGAGGTCAGCCCTGGAGGACACGGAGTGGAAGGCCACAAATCAGTGAGGATGTGCAGAAAGATCTGCTGCCCTCATGACCCCTACCCCAAGCCAACAGGATGCAGAAGATGCCCAGGAGATTTGGCTTCCCTGGAGACAAAAGGAAAAGGAGAAAGAGGGAGAGGGTGGGAGAGGAGAAGGGACCCCGGATCTCAGGAGATGGGTCAGTATTTCCAGGACGGGAATAGAGGACGAGGCTGGGCTGCTCCACGCCGCAGATGAATGAGCCCGTCCCTCCCGCAATGCCGCACTGTCTTGATTACAGTCTTCATCGTGGGTAAGTGGCTCCTATTCCCAGATGGCCATACTCCCAAACACATCCTAGTTTGTTTTACTTCATCAAAGATTGTTTTCTGGGCCCTTTCTCTTTCCTTTTCTGTATAAATGTTGGAATAGTCTCATTTGTATCTATAAGAACCCTGCCAAGAGTTTGATGGGAATTGTGCTAAAACCATGATCTCCTGCAAACAGACAGTCAGTTTTCCCAGCACCATTTGCTGAACAGGCCCAGCCTCATCCTCTGTCTGCTGAGATCCGGGGTCCCTTCTCCTCTCCCACCCTCTCTCTTTCTCCTTTTCCTTTTGTCTCCAGGGAAATCAAATGCTCCTGAGCCCATTTAGGTTTTATGGTCATTCTGACTTTGGACAAGAGTAATTTCATTTCCTGATCAGTTTATCCATGAAGGGGAGTTGCAATGTTTACTTCACTGAAAAGCCTTTATCAGGATTACTTTCTTTTTTCTAGGACAGCTAGGAGGAGACTGACTGTCCGACTCACGAGCACTCTTTCCTTCTCCTTCCTAGGGGCTGGCTTTTCTTGGACTTCTCTTCACCTTGGGGCTTGGCCTCTACAACACAAATTATAGTATTTTGAAAAGGGAGATTAAATAGAATATCAAAAAGTGGGAAAGATATACCCTGCTCCTGGATAGGCAGAATCAATATTGTCAAAATGGCTATACTTCCAAAACTGTATAGATTTAATGCAGTCCCAATCAAAATGCCATGAGCATTCTTCATAGAACTAGAGAAAACAATCCTAAAATTCATACAGAACCAAAAGAGACACAGAATAGCCAAAGACAATCTTGGCCAACAAGAGCAAAACAGAAGGAATCACAGCACCTGACTTCAAGTTACACCATAAAGCAGTGTGATACTGGCACAAAATCAAGCGTGCAGATCCATAGAACAGAATAGAAGATACAGAAGCATCCTGAGACACATTCAGCTATTTGATCCTTTGACAAAGGGCCAAAAGTATACATTAAAGGAAAAGCAGCCTATTCAGCGAATGGTGCTGGGAAAACTGCCTGTCCCCAGGCAAAGGTTGGAAGCTAGACCCCTGTCTCTCACCAGGTACTAAAATAAAATCAGAATTGATCGAAGATCTACAGATTAAAGTAGAAATATTGAACTCACTGGAAGATAAAATGGGTAAAACTCTCAGAGTCATAGGTGTTACCCCCAAAATAAAAGAATGCCTACTCTAAAAGAAAAGCTAGAATCTGAAGCTGTGTGATCACGCAACTGCAATGACATTGACAACATTTCATAATAATGTGTGGTTCACAATCCATGATTTATAATTCACTTTTTAAAGTACCTTCCCTCCACTGTGGCTCACAAGTGACTGGCTGCACCAAACAAGTTGAAAGTCGATGTGCCACTTCTCACATTGAAGGGCCGTGCCTGCCATTGGGTGGCACTCGGCAGCATCATTCACCATGATTTTACCCCGCCTTATACAGTAGCTTTCTTCTTACAGTGGCCCTGATTGCGTGATATGTCAGTACACGTATACCACGTGCAATGACCAGATCAGGGCAATTGTTCACTGTGTTGGGAACACTGAAAATCATCTCTGATAGCTACTTTGAACTATATAAGTAGTTGATGTCAGTCGTGGTTCTCCTACTATGTTACAGAACTTTAGAAGTTATTCCTCCTACCCAGCTACAGTCTGTGCTCTCTCTTTCTCTCCATCCCTCCCCTCTCTCCCTTTCCCCATCTCCAGTAACCACCGTTTTGTTCTCTGCCTCTTTGACATCAACATTTGTAGTTTCCACATCCAAGAAGACACTTGTCTTTCTGAGTCTCTGTCTCCTCCTCACAAGGCAGGATGCAAAAACTTACCTCCCATGGAGCTTGTGCTCATCCTGGAAATCAAACACAATGCCAAGCACCATGCCTGGAACACGGCCAGGGTGCTGAGACCACGGTCATCATTAGCGTTTGGAGGGAGGCCACCCAGCTTTGCGGTTCCCTGCCTTTCTGGCCTTGCTCACTCATGTGGCTCCTGCAGGAATAGTTGTGGTGGTTTCTTCCACCGATGAGAACAGCACCAGATTCTTAGAAAAGTGCTGACTCCCTCGATCCAGAACGCCCAGGCCTGCAGGCTGAGCTGGAAAGATTGAGAAGAGGGTAGCTCAGGGCAAGACAGGAGCACCCACCTTCTCAAGACCCGCAATGCCCTTACGTTCAGCTGCCCTGGAACTTCCAACATCCAGCTGCACTTCTGGTCCTTGGGGGACCCAAGGCAACGCTTGGCTGCCCCAATATGGGAGACCTCACCCTCAGCTCAGAAAGAAGATTCAAATGCTAGGAAGCAAGGTGCCAGGGCTGTACTGTTCCAGAAGGGAGCCACAAGTCAGGGTGGGCAACTGAGCTCTTCAAACAAGCTGCTCCAGGTTGATCTGCGTTGAAAGTCTAAAATCCTTACTAGAGTTCAAAGATTTTGTGCCAAAAAGAGTAATAAAAATCTCATTCGTGTTTTATATTGCTTATAGTTATCCCCTGTTATTCATGGGTGATTGACTCCAGGACTCTGCTCAGATACTGAAATCTAAGGATGCTCAAGTTCCTTATACAAAATGGTGTAGGATCTGCACATGCCCTACACATGTTCCCCTGTACACTTTAAGTCATCTCTAGATGGTTTATAGCACCTACTACCATGTGAAAACTATGTAATTTTTGTTATCTTATATGGCTTAGGGAATAATGACAAGGAAAAAAATCTGCACATGTTTAGTGAGGGCAAGTTTAAAAAAATACATTTTCTGTCTGAGATAGGTTGAGTCTGAGAACACAGAATCTGGGCATGCAGAGGGCTGACTATGTGTCGAATGCTAATATATCAGATAATTGGACTACATAGATTCTATTATTAAAATTTCAACTGTTTCCTTTAGCTTTTTAAAAATGTGGCTACTTGAACATTTTAAATAACATATGTGGCTTGCATTTGTGGCTCACATTATATTTTTATTGGGCAATGGTTTTCTAGACAATCCACACAATATGATGCAGCTGGCTTTGGGGTCATGGTCATGGGAGGCCAGGGTCCTCCTCTTTCCTTGCTCCCAGGGACACTGTCACCTTAGCTCCTTCTGCCCTGGTCATGTACCCCAAAATCCAAACTCATAAAAATGTTTCCTTCTTTCAGAAAACTATGGATTCCCACTCTTCAGCACCACATACCCAGTCCCTCGAGTGCATATAGCACTTTGGTGCCATTTTGGAAAAGCCATCCCTTAGTCAAGGCACTTTACAAGCATCCACCAGAAAACTGACCCAGTCAATAAGCACGCAAAGCTCACTGGCTGCCACAGGAGTGATGCCCTTTGTTACAGCACACTCGTGCACTGTGCAGCCTCCCCAGCTGCCCGTGCGGCAGCCCTTCTGTATGTAGCTGCTCAGTAAATACTGACGGAGGAGTAATTGAGGAAGAAAGAGTAGGGCTCTCTACTCCTCTGGTGCTTCCAGACTGATATTCTATCTGCCCTCCAACAATTAACACTGCAAAGACCGTTCCTTTCAAGCAAAAGGCCACTTTGCAGGGCCGTGGCCCTTCTCGGTCTCCATGGCATGAAAACCACATCAGTGTAGCACCCCGATCCCAACATTTATCCAAGATGTTCCTAGATCCAGGGCAGAAGGGAAACTCCTAATAGGTGCTCTGAGATGAGCCTGAGGGTCTTCTTGGTGAGAATCCCACCCCCAGCACTGTTGACAACACAGACAGGAAGGGGCACTTGGGAAGCCTAACTTGGAGTGGTGTCCACATTTTGCGGAGTGACCCAATACAGACTGGTATTGGGCACTGGCATACTCCTACCATCTGCTTAAAGTGATTCATGTTTCTCATCTCAGATGACGCACAAGGTAGCATTCACAGTGAAACGAGGATGAGGCAAGCAGGGAGGGCTGGGAGTGTCCGACTCTGTTCACCCCCAAATGTCCTGGGTGCTCTCCGCAAGCTCTGGCTGGTGGTTTTCCAAACAGGCAGAGGCAGATATTTATTCCTCAGCGTCACAGTGAGTTCTAATCCTATACTTCCTTAGTTTCTCATAATTATTAAGTATAGTCAATTTGTCTTATTAACGTCTAACACCTACCATTGTCCTCATGGGACACTTTTGTGTTACATGAGAATTTCAGCCCTCAGAAAAACGCACAACAGGGTGTTTCATTTGTTTGTTTATTCATTTCTTTTCCTTTATTTTAAAACATTTTCTATTTTCCCACATATGAGTTTGATCACTTCTAGGGAGCCATAGGAAGGGAGTGAGGGGCCTGGCTAAGAGCATAAAAACAATTCTCAGCCCAGTTTTCCAGAATTCTTTGTGGTTCCTTTAACCAAATAGATGTTTTTGTGGAGAGTTGGGCTATTTTATACAGTAAACAATTTTTTCTTTTCCTTTTAGCCACTTAATGTGGTATCATGAAAGGAAGAGCAGCTTGTTAATGAAAAAAAGCTGAGAT